GCTGCAAGAAATAGGAACATTTGGCCTGGAAAAGGAGCTGATTTCCATGTGCAGCTTTCACTTAAGCAGTAGCGTGGATATGAAAACAGAATTGTTTCCAGGTTTCAAAGTAAGTCTGTTGTTTTATGAGCTATGTCTCACGGTGCAGCATTGGGATGTGGAGTATCTGTGTTTAATTCTCAGCTGTGCCACAGGTGTGTCAATGCACTGTGGTCAAGACAGCTCCTCACCTGCTCCGAGTTAAGCATATGCTTAAATTCTCTGCTGGATTGAGGCTTATATGGAGATTGGCCTACGACTTTTCCGGGATGTATCACCTTCTGTGGTTGATGCATGCATTAAAACCGATTTGTAATGTCCACCAAGAACACCAGGTGGATTGCTGGTATTCTAGCCTTTATAACCAGCTCCATAACCTGGTTTGATTACTATACAGGGTGGAATTTAGATCCATAACCTGAAGTTGCCAGACAAATTTTCCCTGGCCTCCTAAGAGAATTGGTATTAAAAACTTCTAGTTTTGAAGGTCAAAGCTGCTGTGCATCCAAGACACTTGGATTTGGCCTAGTGCAGGGAGTGGTCAAGCACTGGAACGGGCTACCTAGAGAAGCTGTGAAATCTCCACCCTTGGAAGTGTTCAAGAGCAGGTTAGACAGACACTTGGATGGGATGGACGAGTTAAGGATGATCCTGCCTTGAGCAGGGAGCTGGACTAGATGACCTTGTGAGGTCCCATCCAGCCAGACTTTCCTATGACCTTATTCGTAGCTGCAGAGAAAGTACAGGGGTTTGCTGTCTGCTCCAGCCAGACTCCACGGATTCAGAAACCCATCCACTACACTTGTCAACATGATGAGTGCAAGCTAGGAGAAGCTACAGGAGAGGTTTTAGCAAGAAAGCTTTTTTTTTTGTTTTTTTTTCATATATTTTTCATACTGCAAAAAATCACTCTCTGTAATACAGCACCTTCAAGCTGCTGAGCCGGGGCACAGCACGGCAGGCTGGCTGCGGATCTGTTTCCCAGAGACATGGGGAAGGCCTTTAATTTGTCATCCGGCTTTCTCTTACCGTTCCATCTGCGATGGACCTGGTGCAGATAAAGCCATGTGACAAGTCACAGGTTGCTGCTTTATTCCCATACCCCCCTCCTCGTTCCTCAACTACAAATTTTAAATGTCAGCTTTTCAAAATGTGGCCTTTTCCAAAATGTGTTACAGCCTGAATCTCACTTAATGGAAAACTCATTTCCAGTTCAAAGGGTTTAAAAGCAAAATGGGAAAGGGCAACGAGAAATGAAAGAGACTGGGGAAGTGGCAGCTGGGGTTCTCCAATTAGATTTTAAGGAGATGTCTCTGTCAGCGTCTTTTCTCCATGGGGAACTCTGAGAGGAGATGCTGAAATCTACATATTGCCTGGCCAGAAGTTGTTGTATAATCCAGGAGCAAATTCAGACTCAGTGGGCACGTCCACATGAGACGCTGCTGTGCATTTATTTAGTACTTGTATAATCCAGTACTAAACAAACGTGCAGTAACCGGAGTTACAGCGAGCTTGGTGGCCACCACAGAAATAAATCGAGGGAGAAAGTCAAACATTAGGAACGAGCTCTCTTCTTATATTTCACATTAATCCTGCAGAGGATTGGCTCTTTGAAAAGGTTTCCTATACATTCCTCTCATTCCTCCATCCACTGTCGCAGATTCCTGGTGCTGCTGCATCTAACAAAGCCTCATGTAAGTATATAAGAATTGCCACTGATTGGATGCGTCTACACATGCGCTTTACTGCGGAGTTGACTAATTAGGTCTGCAGAAGAAGCATAGAAAATAGGGGTTGAAAGGGACCTCAGGAGGTCACAGCTAGTCCAACTCCCTGCTCAAAGCTTGACCAGCCCCAACTACACCATCCCAGCCAAGGCTTTGTCTAGCTGGGTTTCAAAAATCTCCAAGGATGGAGTTTGTACCACCTCTCTGGGTGACCTGTTCCAGTGTTTTACTACCCTTCTAGTGAGAAATTTCTTCCTAATATCCAACCTAAACTTCCCTTGATGCAACTAGAGACCATTGCTCCTTGGCTGTCATCTGCCACCATTAAGAACAGTCCAGCTCCAGTAAAGTCTAGTCTAGTCTAGTAAAGAGTCACCATCTACACATGTGCCCATATTAGGGCTTAGTTAATTAATTAACTCCGCTGTGGGCTAGTACCATCCAAGACAAGTACTACCCTACAGTGTAGTAGTTTCTATCCTAAAGTGTAGCAATTTATGACACTGAAGTGCTCTTGTAGATGGTGACCGAGGCTGGCAGGAGCATGAGGGTGCTATAGTGTGGGTGCTGCCTGCTGGCTAGATCTGGGACTGACCTCCCAACCCCGCTTCCAGCCTGGGACTACTCCACCCTGGCTCAAATGACTGAGAGCCTGGGTGCACATACAATCACTGCACCCGGAAGAAGCTGACTCTGGCATGAACTGTGCTGGAGTTTCTTGTGTCAGGGTAATTGCACCCACTAAGTCGACCATAGATCCACGTTGCCCAGTATCCTGTGTCACTCAGGGTGCAGACAGAAGTGCAGCTCCATGCTGCAGCTGAGAATGCTTTGCAGGATGCTTTCTGAATTTCAAGATCCCCTGGACCAAACAGGAGTTCAGTGTTGGTTCCAGGGTGGAGGGGAATCTAGCTGCTGGCTGTGAGCTTGCAGCAGGTTTCCCCTAGCAATGGCTCCTCCTTCCAGCCAGCTGCCTGGGAGCCTGCACTGTTTTCAGAATGGGAGTGGGGAAAGGGAGCAGAGGGAGCTCATTCTAGGGGTCCCCAGCAGGCATTGGAGAGTGGGATGGATGAATTGGAGCCCCCTCAACTTGGGTGGGGGGCGTGCTCCAATACACCCACCCCATCCTCCAGCAGGGGATGAAAAACCCCAGACCAAACTCCTTCCACTCCCTTTCCCCTCTCCCACTCTGAAAACAGCAGCAGGCCAAGAGGCAGCGCAGACACAAGTTACAGAAGACACACTGTTTTGAAATGTCTTCACCTGACCCTGCATTCAATGGCACCCGATTGGCCATTTTTGAAGCAGCCTGCAGCCACGCACTTGTGTTTGGTCACACCTATCAACCACTATCTGTGGCCAGATCAGGGGACAGTTGTCACTTCTGTCTGCACCCACAGGGCAGAAAGCGGATGTTGAAAGAGTGAACTGGGTCTGACCAGTGTGTTTTTTCCAGTTTCTCTCCCACTTGCAGCCTCCAGCATTTAAGGTCTAGGGCATTTTAATTCAGAGACCGTATCCTTAACTCCCATGTATTCATAAACTCATTTTAGAGTTAGCCAAATGGGGCTGCTACTTGTCTTAATATGTAAGGGACACTTCAGCTTTTCTAGGTCTTAACATTGCCTGTGCCATCACAGTGATACATCGCCACAGATGCAATGATTTTATCTTCACTATTTCCTCAAGAAGCAGGAAGTATTTTTATCCACATTATAGAAATGGGGAAATGAGGCCCAGAGAGAAGTGACAGACCCAAGAACATAGCCCTTTCTCTCCTATCTCCAGCCTGGTACTTGCAGTACAGGCAAACAGGTTTTTAGTAACCTCATCGGTCCTGGCCCCTGAAAAAAGAAATATGTCGATGGAGAACAAGTATGAAAGTTTCAAGCTCAAAATGTCATTTTAGGCCCTACTCCCAGAAAACCTTTATAACTGCCAGAAAACAGGAGCGTGTGCTGGTATCTTGTATGAAGGCAGCCAAAAAAAAAAAATTGCACCTTAGAAAAAATAAGGAAACAGAATCAAAGTATCCTCCCGGTTCTATGAACTTCCCCCAGCTGTTCATTTAACAGCATCCTTCCAGACAAAGGAGGCATGAAGTGGCAGCTGCTCTGTACACCAGCCTGCATAACAGATCTATAACAGCAGCAGGGGAGTGTGATTGTATCACCCCGTCGTCCAAACCTACCCACCACAGGGCACTTTCATTTGTGGCTTTAAGTCACAAGCATGCCTACAGCCGAGGTGAGTTACAACCTCCCACCTGGATTGTTGCTCTACAGCAGCTACCGCTATTTCTGCTTGTGTCATTCGTTGGAAGGGATTTTGTCACATACGGCAATACGAGAGAATTCAACTGATGTTCCCAAAGCTCAAGAAACAGGCCCTCTCTGCAAGCCTGCTGAGCATGTGCATAAGTCATGTTCCCTCCCCATGTCCTTTTCAAAGAGCGCTGCCTTATTAAGAATGCCACTTGTTGGTAAAGTGATATGTAAAGAAACAGAACCGCCAAGTCCTTTGGGTTTTAGGTGGTCAGCATTGTTCATTTTCACTGCCTTTGCTTTTCCAAAGAGCTCTAGGCTGTATATCTTGGATGCTGTGTTTGGAGGTGCAAAAAAGCAAGCTGATTTGCTAGCACAGAGCAGCAAAACCTATAACGGGCTTTCTCCAGGTAATAGACTCCCTGCACTTGCATGGTACAGGCAGATCCTCGATGGCAGATTTTATTGCTGTGTATTGCTTTTTGCTTCTAAGGATCATGAAAAAAAATGCTGGATGGACAGCTTGGGAGCCTTAATATCCTTGACTTTATCCACAAACACTTGCTGTGCAAGGTGTAACCCCTATCCACTCTACAGGGTCAGCTTGGGGCCAGAGGAAGGGAGTTAAAGGTCCAACGTTATTCAAGTCATAGCACCAAGGACCTCAATTGTGTCAGCTGTGTGGGTGGGTTGTATGAGGCAGGAAACAGTGGCCAGCTCCTTCCAAACAGACAAGCTAACCAGCTCTCACCTGGGGGCATTTACAGGAAACCTCCTTATCACTCCCTAGGAGTAAAAGAGATTGCAATCTCTTGCAAAGCCAATGAGCTGTCCTGTCCCCTCCGTGATACTGCACCTGGTAGCTGTCTAATTCAGTCTTTCTTCCATTAACACTCTCAGCGACTTTGCTGGGAACAGGATCTGGTCTCTCGCTCATCCCGTGCATCTCTCCCCTTCTGCATCGTTGCAGGGAGATCTCCAGAGATCGATCATCCAGGTGGATTTCGGAGACGGCATCGCTGTGTCATACGCCAACCTCAGTTCGACGGAGGATGGGATCAAGCACGTCTACCAGAACGTGGGCATATTCCGCGTAGCTGTGCAAGTGGACAACAGCCTGGGATCTGACAACGCTGTCCTGTACTTACATGTAACTTGTATGTTATTACTGTTGTTGGCTTATGACATACCTGATAAGAACCATTCCCCCCCTTAGAGATGATGCATTGACTTCTCTGCCTAGGAGACCTCCTGAGACAATGAATGAATGAACGAACCTTTGTTCTCCCCCAGGTTGAGACTCATCAGAGCAATATAACACCTCTACCTGGCTCAACTGCATCCTACTTGTAACCGCGGGGTCCTGCAGGAGGGCCGTGATCTCCTTACAGCCCCCTCACCGTGCCCAGTTGGCCCAAGGGCACCCTCAAATTCTCGCCCGCCACGTCTTTGATGGTTAGATAAAGTTGGGAGGCTGCCTTACGACTCCCTGGGCACGGTTAGCTGGGACGTCTGTCCCCGGACCCCCTGGGGGTCTCGCGGTATGATGGGTGCTCCCCAGGCACCCTAGCCTTATGGGCTACG